ACAACAGAATCAGTTGAAGGTCCTCCGTTGGAAACGAAAAAAGCTTAATAATGAATAATTTTGATTTAATATAAAGAAAAAAAAGGTTATATTTAAAAAACCTGTCCTCGACAGTCTGACTAAAGCCAGCCCCTACTATATCACTTCGTTACTAACGAAGTGATATAGTAAGGGCTGGCTTTAGTCAAACTGCTGTCTTCGACCAAAGGATCATTATATCAGTAGCTACAGTTGATAAAATTAATCTGGCTTGGTGATAAACTGAAAATGAAATGACTAAACTAGTACAGTGTATGTTACTTTTACCACTTAATTTCTTTTTCTGATTTACTTGAACATTTCTTATTTCAATTTTGCTAGGTGTATTACCGTATTGCTAAAACCTTTTAATTTCAAGAAATTACTATATATAACACAGCCATTTTTTTTCCATTGGCTTAACCAAATTTCAATTGAAAATATAATCATTTCAATATTTTACTTTGCTGTTTTTGGCATCACTTAAGAAAAAGGATAAAAATGATTTGTCTGTATATAAGAAAATTTAATTTACAAATTCATTGGGTAAAGGCAGTTTAACTTATTCATTTTTTATTTACTCTATTTGATCAATATTTGATATTACAAACACGTACCTTAATCATTCCTTGGCCCATTTCTCTCAAAAGAGATGCATTGTATATTCCAATAAAAGAGAAGAGCAAAGCATCGTTTTTTAAATGTAGTGACGAAATCTGGTTTTCAATACAATTCTATGGCTTTCAAACAGGTCAGCTAGAAATGAATATGTTCTTTCAATTTTACAATTATTTTTAACTTCAAATGAATAATTTACTGGAGAGTATATGTACGTAATTTTTTTAACGTCCTATAAAACAGTTTAGTTTATGTATCCTTAACTTAATCGATGTAATTTCTAATGAAATCAAAGCTTCATGTATATCAATTTGATTGAAGAAACAATTAGTCTAGAAAAATGTAAATCGCTAGCACAAAATAAATGAATTAAAAAACCCATTGCTTAATCATTCATAAAACCCCTTGTCAAGATAACAGCCTTACAAACATGTATACATGTTTTAATTGAATTCAACAGTGAAAATGATTTAAATGGTTTACCACTACACAATTGATACATGTGTATGTAGAAAACGCCATTGTCTCGCTTTGAATATATGCGCTTGCGTAATGAAGCATTTATTTAAAAGCACCCCTTTTGGCAGAACTGGAACCTGAGAACCATACAAGATTTATCATAATGTCTCGGTACAAATTTCGCCAAGGGATTGACAGAGTATTAACAGAAAGTAAGTTTTTGATAATATTTTGATAAAATAAACTTCAAAAAGAGTAGCTTGATCAACTGATTTAATTAATGCTCGTTATCCAAGTTTGAAAAAAGAAATAGATTAGAATTAGATTTATACAAAAAGTAAAAATCAAATGCGTTACAGGTATGATAGTGCATATTGTATTAAATTATATCAATATTCAATGAAATGAATTAGAAAAATTGAATTTTAGATTATTTTATTGTTATTTATTTTTTTTATGTCAACATGTAACATAGGGAAGATACTTTTTATGAACGAAACGCACTTTTCTGTTTCATTTGGACTTTTTAGCTCACATGAGCTGAAAGCTCAAGTGAGCTTTTCTGATCACATTTTGTCCTGCGCCTGTCTGTCTAGCTGTCCGTTTGTCTGTAAACTTTTCATATTTTCGACTTCTTCTATAAAACCACTGGGCCGATTTAACCAAACTTGGCACATAGCATCCTTAGATGAAGGGGATTCAAGTGTGTTCCGATGAAGGACCACGCCCTTATTCAAGGGGAGATAATATGGAAATAGTGAAAATTTGGTGGTATGTTTATAGAATCTTCTCAAGAACCTCTGTGCCAGGAACGATAAAACTTATAGGAAAGCATCCTCAGGTAGTGTATATTCACATTTGTTCAAATCATGACCCACGGGGGTAGGGCGGGGCCACAATGGCCGATCAAATTTTTACATGTAGGAAAATTCTTTAAAAATCTTCTTCTCAAGAAACGAAAAGGCATGAATAATTATATTTATATAGAAGCATCCTCAGGTAGTGTAGAATCAAGTTTGTTCAAATCATGACCCCCGGCAATAAGGCGGGGCCACAATTGCCGATCTAAGTTTTACATAGAAATATATAGGTAAATTCTTTAAAAATCTTCTTCTCAAGAACCACTGTGCCAGGGAAGATGAAACTTATATAGAAGCATCCTCAGGTAGTGTAGATTCAAGTCTGTCAAATCATGACCCCTAGGATAATGGCGGGGCAACAATGGCAGATCAAAGTTTTACATAGAAATATTTAGGAAAATTCTTTAAAAATATTCCTTTCAAGAATAGCAAAGGCATGAATGATCAAAATCATATGGAAGCATCCTCAGGTAATGTTGATTCATGTTTGTTCAAATCATGACCCCTGGGGGTTGGTTGGGGTCACAATGGCAGATCAAAGTTTTACATGGAAAGATGTGCATATAGAAAAATTCTTTAAAAATCTACTTTTCAAGAATGGCAAACCCATGATAAGTCATATTCATATGGAAGCACATTCTCAGTCAGTGTGAATTCAAGTTTGTTCAAGTCATGACCCCTGGGTGTAGGGCAGGGCCACAATGTAAGTTTAAATGTAATTTATTGTAAAGGGTAATAAAGCCACATGTAGTCAAAGAAATATGCAAGCATCCTTGGTAAGTGTAAATTCAAGTATGTTCAAATCATACTCTCTCCCCTTTAAGGATTGGTTGAATTACATTTGGGTTTAAACTTAATAATAATAAACTGATTTCTGCTTTTTAGCTCACCAGAGCCGAAGGCTCAAGTGAGCTTTTCTGATCACATTTTGTCCGGCGTCCGTCTGTCTGTCTAGCTGTCTGTCCGTCTGTCTGTAAACTTTTCACATTTTCGACTTCTTCTCAAGAACTGCTGGGCAAAACTTGCCACAAAACATCCTTTGGTAAAGGGGATTCAAGTTTGTTCAAATGAAGGGCCACGCCCTTATTCAAGGGGAGATATTTGGGAATTAATGAAAATTTGGTGGCATGTTCATAAAATTTTCTTCTTAAGAACCACTGTGCCAGGAAAAATAAAACATATGAAAACATCCTCAGGTAGTGTAGATTCAAGTTTGTGTAAATCATGAACCCCGGGGGTAGGGCGGGGCCACAATGGCCGACCAAAGTTTCAGTTGGAAATATACAGGTAAATTCTTTAAAAACTTCTTCTCAAGAATAGCAAAGCCTTAATTGATCATATTTATATGGAAGCATCCTCGGGTAGTGTAGATTCAAGTTTGTTCAAATCATGACCCCCGGGGGAAGGGCGGGGCCACAATGGCCAACCAAAGTTTTATATGAAAATATTTAGGAAAGTTCTTTAAAAATCTTCTTCTCAAGAAAAAGAAAAGCCATCATTGATCATATTTATATGGAAGCATCCTCAGGTAGTGTAGATTCAAGTTTGTTCAAATCATGACCCCCGGCGGTAAGGCGGGGCCACAATGGCCAACCAATGTTTACATAGAAATATATAGGAAAATTCTTTAAAAATCTTCTTCTTAAGAAAAAAAGCCATAAATGATTATATTTATATGGAAGCATCCGCAGCTAGTGTTGTGTAGGGCCACAATGAAAGACCAAAGTTTTACATAGAAATATATAGGAAAATTCTTTTAAAAATCTTCTCCTCGAGAATAGAAAAGCTGTAATTGATCATATTTATATGGAAGCATCATCAGATAGTGAAGATTCAAGTTTATAGAATTCTTGACCTCTCGCGGTAGGAGGGGACCCAAAATGGCCAACCAAAGATTTACATAGAAATATATAGAAATAATTCTTTAAAAATCTTCTTCTCAAGAATATCAAAGCCATAATTGATTATATTTATATAGAAGCATCCTCAGGTAGTGTAGATTTAAGTTTGTTCAAATCATGACCCCCGGCGGTAGGACGGGGCCAAAAAGTTTAACATAGAAATAAACAACTGAAGAGGAAAATTCCTTAAAAATCTCCTTCTCAAGAATAGCAAAGCCATGATTGGTCATGGGACTACATCTGATTTAAACTTTTCAATAATACACCAATTTCTACTTTTCCTAGCCACAGTGTTCAGGCGACCGATGTGGCCCTTGGGCCTCTTGTTTCCTAGTACAGTGCCCAGGTGACCGATGTGGCCCATGGGCTTCTTGTTCTTGTAATGAAGCGAAATGCTACGTATATTGTTCGAATTGCCATCTGCGGTATGGCTTTTGTAAGATTAGCTCGATCCTTTTAAACTTTTTAAAAACAGAACAGATCTTCACGAACAGCAAACTACATGTAATTGCTATAGACATTGCCTTTCTATTCTCACACCATCATGTAAATGACTTTCAAGATGAATCTTCTAAAATAATGCTGTCAACTTTGGCACGTATTAACAGGGTCACCCGGCCTCTACGAGGATCAGCTCATTTTTTTTCAAATATTATAACAATATTGAAAACAAATCTTCAGTTAAGTTCCTTATTCTTAGCATGAGATTTACATAATAACATATGATATACATAATTGGCATGACCGAAGAAAAACATTATTTATTACATTATTTGCGTTGCAAGAAAGAAAATACGCATAAAATATGATAATTTTAAAAGTTCGACTTTTTATTTTGATAACGTTATTGCAAGTAATTGAAGTATAAATACCGTTTAAAACTACTTTTTTTTAAAGAAAATACACTTTGTATTTAAAAACTATAGTCGCATGTTCAATCAACAAAATGTTCATTTCCAGGAAAACGTTTTCATGACTTATAAAATTATTATGGGAGATATGAATTCGAAGAGGTTGTGATTATGGTATTAACACCATGAAATGAAAAGTCAACCTAAGAATTCGGTCCATTACAGGAGCTTTCTTAATCTTTTACAGGTGAACGAAATTCCCTGGTAAACCCTATTAGTGAAATTTGGAAATGCCTGGATTTGACGGTAGGTACACCAGATGATATTCAAATACGTCGAGACATCTACGATCTGTACTCAAAGATGAAATGTGTTTCGCCACAATATCAGGAATATATTTCTGGAAGTCTAAGTGAAGGTTTTCAGTTTTACTGGATCGATCTTGATGTAATGTCTTCCCCTTTAGTAGTGAATGTTGTTCTAGAAGTTGAAGATGTTATAAACCCACAGTGTGAATTCATCGCTATTGATAGTGGTTGTCAACCTGGCTTTAGCAAGCTATTACCATTATATAGTTTTGTTAACAGAGATGCTACATGTTTAAATCTTGATACTTTGTGTCTATCTAGAATTAGTTTTTTACAAGAAAAGCTTAAGTACATTCTCAATAAAAATTGTGATAGTAAAAGTCATGGACCATGCATTAGTACAAATTTTCCAAAAGGATACGACATTTGTTATGGTATCCCGATCGATCCAGATTCATCGAATAAATTTTTGAAGAACTTCACCACAAATTTCTGGGATACTGTAAAATCGGACATTTTAAAGCAAAAAGAAATACCTATCATGCATTTTGTGCCAAAAGGTCCTATGGAAGGAGATAATAGTGGCATTCAGTGGCTTAAATCCTTTTCAGTTCTCGAAAAGTATATCGTCCGATCTTTAAATCATGTTCAATTTTGTTGTTATGGTCTATTGAAAATTGTAATTCATTTTGAGATTGAAGAATGCCTTGAGACACAGGACACGCTTTGTTCTTACCATCTAAAGACAGTTCTATTTCATGTTTTAGAGGATATTCACGTCAACTTTTGGATTCCTAGTAATATAATCTGGTGTTTTCGAATATGCTTAATACGACTTTTATTATATGTGCAGAAAGGCGTGTGTCCGAATTATTTCATACCAGATTGTAATCTTTTTTTAAAAGAGGGATTTATGGAGAAAAAATATAAGATTGAGGGAAGGCTTCTTAGAGTTTTACAATACAGACCTGATGATCTGTTACGTTTCCTACAACCACTGTCTTTTCGAAATCTTGTATGTTTGATACCAAATGCTTCAAGGAAATTGAAAAAACTAATGACGATATCTTTTGCATTACTATGTGTAAAAGGACACCATACAACATACAATGAATGCATGTTATCAATTTTTAATATCATCAATGCCTTTGAAAAGGAAGAAAAATATTTAATGAAAACAGTGTTAATTTATCTCTTTTCGATCGTTATGAGAAGAGCTGGAGTAATCTTGTACGAAAAATTTATACTGACTGGATTTCGTGAATATCTGTTTTCATCTGAAGCAGCCTTATCCTTAGCAAGATATTCTAATGCATCTGGGGCTCTTTATTTAGCAACTTTATATTACTGTGAAAGAAAATTTAAACATGCAATACATGTTATTTCTGGTGTTCTTACAAAACTACCTGACAGTATACTGTTTTGTATTTCATACAACAATGCTCTGCTGAAAGATATAGCCAACAGTAGTTTTACTGATTTATTGAGGAATTACAATTCACATTCAGTGTATCTGGATAGAAATAGCTGCTTCCGCCCACAACTTCTTGAAAATGAGGTTAATGGATGTATTATAGGTGAATATGTAATGTACGATAAATCATACGCTTATTTCCTTAAGTTCCTTTGTTATCTGGAATTTAAAAATAAACGGAAATGCACAAAAACTCTTTCAAAACTGTACAAATCATATACAGACATCCGGTTTATCGTGTACGATTCTCAAACTAAACGGAATTCTAGAACACTAGGAATTATAGCAAAGAGTAGAATGAAGCTTTTGAATTGATCATACTTTACAATTATTCGGTTGCTAAGAACTTTTCTGTGATGCAATGTTGATTTGCAATGACAAATTATAATTATATTGAATCTGATACATCGTTGTGATTTCAATATGGACATAATTAACTTATTGTTTATTAATTTATTTATGATGTTTTGTTATGATAATTTGCTTATTAGTGTAGTTGACAGTAACTACACAAAGCCAGTGTTTACTGTGTAATATTTTCTTTGACTAAGCGTACATGTAATAAAATATCCAAAATGAAATTTTTGAAATTTTGAAAATCCTTAAACTTCCTGTTTCCACATATCTATATATAATTTAAGTGAAAAACAAAAGTTCTCTAACTCATTAACATTTTATGAAAACTACCAGTATTTCAAACGTCAATACACAGATCAACGAATTTAATCAACCAAATTCAATGCTTTCGCACACTACACATGATTTTAATTTTTCACAGCTTGAGTATCAAGCTTTTGCTTTCCTTCCAATTTTCTGAGCTTTTCAACATTTTATTTTTTGTTTATTCTTTGATATCAGAAAATGATTTTCTGATATTAAAAAAAAAGGCGTACCTAATTTTTTTTTTATATTAAAAAATCGGGGTTTTGCTATCAGAAAATATGAATGAAATAGATATAATTTACTTAATTTAATAAATGCTCTCCTATTCCTGTTTCTATATAGTATCATCCGCTGCTGCTTGGTGATTAGTATTATCACTTCATGGTTGTTTCAGTCTAGCCTAAATCTTTGTTTGTGTTTTAGCATTTGTATTGATAAATGCAAAAATATGAATAAATATAGATTATTACATAAATTAACAAATGCATTTACAATGCTTATAAGTTTTTCTGATATCATTCTGATTTTCTGATATCAGAAAATCTCGCTTTTTTCAAAAAATATATTTTCTGATATAAAAAATACAAATTATTTTGATGTAAAAAATTCGAATTTCTGATATCAAAAAATTCTTTTCATGATATATCTGTGATATCTCTTTGAAAGTAAGTGGAGTTAATTTTGATAATTCTCCCGGAATGTTAATAGGTCAAGTGCTGATTTTAATCTATATCTACATTTTTTAAGTCTTATTCTACAATTATATTTCACAATGAAATGGAAATATAAGAAACCGCTGTCTAGTTAGTACAGTTACCAGGGACATCAACGATAATGAGAAACATAGGATAATTTATACATTACGGGCTTTGCCCGTTGGCCAATTTATCCCATGTTTCCCATTATCGTTAATGCCCTTACATACTATACTAACTAGACAGTGATTCCTCAATTAATATATGCTAGTCAGTACTTTTGGAATGTAAAATAATGTACTAATTTCAGGAGAATTTGTAAATGTATAATTGGCAGAAATTAAGTAATTTTTAACCCTAAATCACGTCTATGTATTTCAAGAAAAAAGATAAAGCTGTGAGGATTTGTCTTAGGATTAGATATTCACATTAATATAACATAAGGGGTATAAAGTGTTCTCTCAAAAAATTGCGTGCCTTCCTTTAGTGAATGCTTAAAATAATACCTCTCCCTTCATACGTTGCACCGGTCCCGCGCTTATGATAAATATTATCTGTTCCCTTAGGCTTCTTAATAATAGCATTCAACGTGTGTTCCACATGTACAGAAAGATTCGATGCATTTTGATATGTTATTTTATTATTCATTCACTAAATCATGTTCAATTTTGCTGTTATGGTTTATTTAAAATTGTTATCCGACAAAAATTTATGAGCATAGTGAAATACATGATACATTGAATTCTTACCATTTGAAGACAGTTTTGTTTCATGTATTGGAAGATGTGCATTCAGACTTTTGGATTCCAAATGATATATTCTACTGCTTTTGGATTTGTTTTACACGTCTTCTACTCTTTGTGAGAAATGGTGATTGTCGCAATTACTTTTTATCAGAATGTAATCTTTTTCTCAAGAAAAGAATAATGACAAGAAAAGGCAGAATTGAAAAAATTCTTTTTGATGTTCTGAAAACCGGACCAGATTATTTGCTGTGGGAAAGCACTGTTTCATCTCTTAATAATCCGACTTGGTTGATGCGATACAAACAAAAAAAAATTAGGATACTTTATTACATTCTGTTTTGCATTGATAGATGTGAAAGGATACCAGACATCATTTCAAGGATGCATGCTTTCCATTCTCAAAATATTCAAGCTTTTAAAAACTGAGAAAAGTGATAGAAGTTTGGCGGCGCTTAAATATTTATTCATAGGTTTCATGAAAAGAGCTGGGGTCATTCTTTATGAAAAGTTTCTTCTGACTGGTTTTACACAGTACTTACTGTCAGCGGAAGCAGCCTTCATTTTAGTGATTTTTGACAGGTCATGGGTCATTGGATGATCAGCAGAGGACAGGAAGATCGAAACAGGGAGTTCGGGCGTAAATGTTAGATGGTGATTTGACGTAGTCAAAAAAGAGAGACGTGTAACGGTGAGAGCGATAAGAGAAACTTCTAGTTTGTCTTATGGTACTGTACAAAGAATTTTGTCAGAGGACTAAATTATATATAGAGTAGAGTATAGAGTGTACAGTGGGTACCAATAATTCTTTAAAATAGTGAAATATGTGTTCATGAATCTCAAATATTTTTAATGAAACGAAAAGGAAACGCTTAAGTGCATGACGGCGTGTATCCGTCATATGACGTTATTAAGGTGCGGCGACTACCAAAATTGCACTTCATATATAATTCGATATTTTGAAAAGTATAAATTATTTTGACTTGAATTTTCTAGGACTGATTTGTTATAAATGTAGCTTCAATCATGTATAATTTTCTTAATTTACGTCGAAAACTAGCAATTTAATCAAAATTGTGACATTACTTTTAGATCAACCCTCGTACTTATTATGATCCCATCTTCGGAGCTTCATCGGGTCTGTGTTTTAAAATATAAAATATGCAAAAAAAAAAAAAAAATGAAAATAACAAAGAGAAATCGATCTCAAAATCTTTAAAGTGATACCAATTTCTGAATGAATTTCTGTCCGTCATAGTAAGTGGAGTAATCTTTTTCTTTTTCAACTTAAAAATGGATCATTAAGTGTTGTTTTCTTTTTTCTCTCAAGCAAATTTATTTCTAAATCTATTTAATACAAATGACTGTATGTATAGAGACCAGTAAAATAAATTGATAAGGTAGTCAACAGGTTCATAAAAATAGCAGTTATATATAAGTAATCGAAAATGCTCATAAAAATATCTTAGAATCCACAAAATAATGTGAATTAACACAATATTTATGAAATTCCGAGTCCAATTGAAGGATCGGGGATTCCTATATTTAGAGCTTTTTAAAATAAGTGATCTAAGGTCCTCATTATCAACTAAATTTACGTAACCGGTAATAACGTGTCAAGCAGGACTATAGTTATAGGACGAAGGATATCATGAAGGATGGAGGATTATGTTTCAGATACTCGGTATCCAAGCCCTGTAATTGAAATGTTTGGAAGCAATGGTCGATGTATATTTGTATACAAGGTGTAGCCTTTAACTTGTAATATAGTGGAATACAAGACAGGGCCCTTTTGTGATAAAGAATATTACGTTTATTAACTGCGTCGATTCCATTATTGGCATATGGAAGTTTAAGGAAAAGACTAATTGTTTTAGCTGCATTTTCTTCCATAAAACGTGCGGGTTTAAAAAGCATATGCTTTGCGATATCCATAATCACGGATCGGAGCCTATATTCTGGTGACGAGGAATCGAAAAATGGGACTTTCCTTGGCCTTTTCAAGAAGACTATATAAAAGTTTCAAATGGACAGAGTAAAGTTTGGTGCGAGTATGATGTAGACCTAACTGCTGATTTACATAAGGTAGTAATGAATCAAAAGAGACATCGTGTATTTGCAGTTTTATTGTAAGATCGATGCCCATGACTGCAAAGAATGTCAAATATATTGACTATATTAGCCCCCCCCCCCCTAATCTGAATCTGAAACTTCTTTACATTATACCAATTTTTGGAGTTAAATTCTGGTCCAAAACTCATTGTCCAACTAATAGGCGAGTCATTGACAGGTTGGTATTTTTTTCTGGATACAAAAGGTAGTTTTATAAGATTATGCATAAAGTAAAAATATTTGTGATTTTTATAGTTTTATTTTAATCTGAAAAGTGTGCATTTAAAAAAAGGATTTAATGATTTAGAATTAATTATTGACCTTATTTTTAGAAAAGGTATCAGTTGAAATCTTGCTTAAACATCACAACATTGATTTAAATTTGTCAAATACTTCTAGCAGAATGTTTTACCGACTTATTAGCGGGTCAATGGCAAATCCCTCCAAAATAATGGCAAAAATCAAAACCAACTTATAGCCGGACCGATTTTACGCGAGTATATACATTAAGTTTGGCTAAAAGATTGTCGATTGGACATTAAACAAAAATTAATCGATAAAGTCCGAATAGTAACGTTTCTTAATCTACATTCGATCCTTTATACTGGTTTCGAAGAAATGTCTACCGGTGGAAATAATGACCGGTTATTATCATAACTCGAAACAGTTTAGTTCTCTATTAAAATATTTCAAAAAGAAAAAAAGATTAAAAACTTAACAGGTTTCTCACATCTCTTCAAGTCACAATCTATAATCCCTGAAGGTTTCAAGACTCAATCTTAAAGCGTTTTTAAGAATACTGGCGGACAAAATGCTTGTTCAAATAATTTGCCATAATTGCTGAACGTTTCTTTAAATCATCTGCACAAAATCAGTAAGGAAAAAATAAAATACTGTAAAATCACATATTTTCGTGGAGTTACATGCAAATTTTCAAGGTTTGAGGAAAAATTATTGGTTTGCCGGGATTTGAATACGAGGTTGAAAAATGTTAAGTTGTAATTAATATTCAAATTTTACATTTCGTAGTGGTCAAAAAGTCGTTGGTCTCTCCATACCTCGATAAACAATGAAAATTTAACCCCCACGAAAATTAGAGATTTCACAGTAGTAGTAAAGAAACAACGGTATAAGTTGAAGGTCTTCCGTTGGA